CGGATGGTTCTGGTGGGGGATGTGAAGGACCGCGTGGCCATCCTCGTGGATGACATGGCTGACACGTGTGGTACCATCTGCCATGCTGCTGATAAGTACGTGGGAGCAGTTTGGAAAGCATGAAGACATCTCCTTAAAAAAAAATCAGTTTTTAGAAATCGAGCCTGTTTTTCCTAACTATTGATGATGCTTTGTGGTGGAATTTTAGACCAAAGGACATTCTAGGCCCATTTGGTTTTATAGTTATTGTTCGGTTTGTTTATTTGTTTGGTACTGGGGATTGAACACAGTGGCACTCTGTGCTGAGCTACAATCCCAGCCCTTTTTATTTTGTATTTTGTGATAGAGTCTCACTAAGTCACTAAGGCTGCTGACAGTCCTCCTGCCTCAGCCTCTAGAGTTGCTGAGAGTACAGGCATACACTACTATGACTGGCAAGGTCCATTTGTTTTTATTCTTTTTATGGTACAAAAGAAACCATGGACCTTTTCATTTTCCAGGTTGAGCTTTAGGTGTATTTTAAAAAGGGTCAGAGAAGGTACTTCCCTGGAAACTGAGCACGGAAGAAAAGAGTTTTGTGGCTTCTTCAGTGCCTTGCTTCCTTCACTTTGCCTTTGCTCCAACTCCCATGACAGCATGGGTCTCCAGAGGCTGCAAACTTGCACAGTCCAGTGCAGAGACCTTGCCAGCCACTCACGGCTGTCAAGCACTTGTAGTGTGGCCACTCTGACTTGAGATGCACTGAGATAGCTCACTAAGTGTTTTGCTAACACATACCTTTAAAGATCCTAGTTTGGGCTAGTAAATGTGAGTGAAGTTTGTCACATCTTTTCCTTTATGTGACAAACATTTTGCTTTTAACACTGATACTAAGGCAGAATATCTCAAGACTATTTGTATATACTTAACTTTTATCTTCCATTTTACAGACTGCTCTCAGCTGGGGCCACTAAAGTTTATGCTATCCTTACTCATGGGATCTTCTCTGGGCCAGCTATATCCAGAATCAATAATGCTTCCTTTG